AGTTTAAAAGTGTTGGGTTGTAACATGAGTTTAAAAGAACACTTCCTGAATTCTCATTTAGATTCTTTTCCTGAGAATCTTGGAGCCCTAAGTGAGGAGCAAGAAGAAAGATTCCACCAAGACATCCAAGAGTTGGAAAGAAGGTATCAAGGTAGATGGAAAGTTAATATGTTAGCTGACTATTGCTGGGCTCTTAAACGTGAAGATGATGGTCTAAAGCATAAGAGAAAGTCAGGAACCAGAAGTCTAGACGAAAAAAGGAAACGATTCCACAAATCAGAAAATTGATAACATTGAAGCATCTGACATAATGTGGTTAATAGCATTGCTATTGGGTAATTAGGAGGTAGCTAGCATTCATTGTTTTATTTGGGGCTTATTAGCTTAGTTCATATTCGAGGGTTATTGGGGGGGAAGTATATAGGGGGGGGGGGGCTATTAGGGCGTTGATAGGATTGCCATTGAGTCATTAGGGGCATTTTAGCATTGCCATTACGCTATTAAGCGGTTCATAGAACCGTTCATATTAGGGGGGTTATTAGGGGCTTAATAGGAGGTGATAGCACTGTCATTGCGTCATTAGGGGGTTATTAGCCTATTTCTTATTAGAGGGTTATTAGGGAGATGAGTTATTAAGGGGTTGATAAGATTACCATTGAATTTTTAGGGGGTTCACAGCTAATTTAATATTAAGGCGTTATTAGAGATTTATTAGGGGGTTGATAGCACTGTCATTACGTTATTGGGGGTTTAGAGCATCGTAATTGTGTTATAAGCAGGTTCATAGAATAGTTTATATTATAGTAATTAGGGGGTTGCTAACATTGCCATAGAAACATTAGGGGATTGGTCAGATAAACCTCAAATTCGGGTTCATTGAATGTATTTTTTGGATTTTACCTTGACCTAACCTTGACTTTGAGCCGACCAAGTAAACGCACCCCGATTCGAATTCAACGACCTCAAAAACCTATCGAAACAGTACCTGGGACAAGATTAATGGGATAATCTTGATTTGACCTGGATCTGTATTTGACCCCTGAACTAATCGGGTGAAATGAATCGTGGATTCGGATTCAACGACCCCAAAAACATAAATGTTATGGTATTATCTTTTGCACTTTTGTTCACATATGACTTTTTTTCGTGGGGCTGTCATATTTGTATTGTTGGTACTGTTGTTATGAAATCGCTAAAGTGGGGACTTCATTCGATGATATCTCCGCGAAAAAAAAGCAAATGAGAATGTGTACATGGTAATTATCAGTGAGCAAGTCGAGAATATTTAATAAAGATTACGACAGCCGTATTCCTAGTATAAGTATTACGTACTATTCCCACGCCCAACATGCGTAACTGTAAGAGCGTGGGTATACAAGAGAGATCGGTTAATATGATAGATTGTTCTTGAAGAATCAAGTACGTAAATTGCCTAATTTTTTTTTTGCTGCTCTCAACAAAACAATTGAGAACATTCTAAAAATATAGTCACCTGTCGCCATCGATGAACTTTCAGCTCATTACAAGATCCACACTCATCAACCCTACACCAATTGATCGTTCAAAAATAATGACGACATTCGTAATTAATTAACATCAAGACTTGTGTCTTTTACCATCTCGCAGCTCGTTACACATTTGTGGACGATTATGTAGTAACAATAACACTTTGTTAACGAATACTAATTTTATTAATAATGCCATTTGTCACATGTTTGAAGAAATTAGCTATGAGCTGAACGCTATAGAAATAGGCAAAAGTAAGAACGTTGTCTCACAAGAATTATGAAAAACTGGTTATCTCTCACTCCAAGTTAAACCTTGATTGCCGAAAATACCGGATGAATAAATATAGAACAAAACGACGATAAAATAACTAATGCGTATTGCGATTTAGATATTTTGATTTCTCTAAGCTTTATACTCGAATTCGCTGAGGACTATCGCGTAGTACTAGTGAATATGAAACATGAATCAATTCTCATAAGATCGAGTACCGATGTAAATATGGTTTATCAATAGAAGAACACCGTCAATGGCGTTGAAGTTCACGAAGAATTGAAGATTGATATAACACGTCTCGAATGGCTTATGTCGTATGTAACTGCATCGCATACAAAGAAAATACGTCTACTTAACTTTCTAAAATGCGAAAAAAGTATTTCAACGAGTTTTCATAGTAGGGAGCTTACGAATATATAGCATTGTCTGCAAATACAAATTACAGATGGACAGTCAAAACGACAAATCAGTTGGGGAATCCACGCTACATCATCTTAGCTTTCCAAAATAATGAAAACAATGAACTGAACTCTAATGCTGGTATATTTCAGCATTGTAATATCAGAAATGTAAAATATTACCTCAACTCTGAGTGCTATCCATACAGTAATCTCAACATTGATTTAAGTAAAAACCAGCACGCAATGCTGTACGATATGTATGCCAATTTTCAAAACGTATACTACGGTTATAATGGGGTTTTGGCTAACCCGCCGTTATAATCGAGAGGATAGACTAGCTTAATAAGTTACTAATGCCACGGGGCTAGTACGCTGGTGCATGTGTGGCCAAGCCTTTCAACCAGCCGCAATACCAAGCAGCCTCGTGGCCCGCGTAGAGCGTCGCAGGTAGCGGTGGCTGAAAAGCGCGAAAAGTAGTGGCGAGCGCAGAGAATTCGCCAAGGATTGGGAGTGGGAGTCGGGCGCAAAGTCAAAAAAACGCAGAGAATACGAAGGATAAAGATAATTTATATAAATTATTAAGGAGAAACCGTACAGTAGTAAATTGGTAAAGATAGAGAACGAAGCGAGCGGCAAGCGAGAGAGAGCTAATCGAGTCGGTACTTACAATGAGGCGACAATGGCCAGGCCGTCCGCACAGTAACCGCTCGCTCGCTGAACAGCGTTACCGGACACCGGTCGCAGTGGTGCCCGTTGCAGTGGGCTACCTAGCACTAGGTCCACGCGCACACCGTCGTGTCAAAGTGCCCCACCACTGCATGCACCCGCGAACACGCTAAGGCAATGCCAGGTCGAAAGTCCGAATCCGCAAAAAGGCAAATCCTTTAGCGCGCGCTCAAACACGTGTCGCCCGTGTTACGTCCGCCAGTCAATTACCGCGGGAGGCATCCCCACTCTTTCATCGCTCTTTTCGGCAGCGCGACCACACGCATATACGCATACACGCGGACGCGACTCTCCCTGCTTATAGGCTCGTTAGTAGACATGCCGGGCTCTCTCTCTTACCTTACACTTCGACGTTGTCGGCTGCTGCAGGCTGCTGTATAATATAATGTGAATTCAAATACAGTATAAGTATATGAATTGTGTACATGCATACGTGGGAAGAGAGAGAGATAACGAATGAATTAAATTCGTTATATGCCCCTCCCTCAGACGTTGGTAGCGGGAGCGGTACCAACTCGAAAAGTAGTCTTTCTCTCGAGGAAGGAAAAGAAAGGTGAAACTCCAGTTATGAAGCAGAATAGAATTATTTCTTAAAGTCTATTAAAAAAATAAAAAAAAGGATTAGTACGTGAATATGTGTTCTCTCTCTCTCTTTTTACAAGAGGGATTTTGAACTGAGGTACAGTTTATGCGCGCAACGGCGCGGGGAAAAACATAAGGGTACAAAACACAAAAGAAAAGGAATTAAATAGGCACGGCCGTAAACAAAACGAGCGCAGAAGGCGTAATCTTGTTTTTCTTCTTTTAGTTGAGGCAGGGCCGTGTCTAACTAGGCGTCAAAGACGCGATCTTCTTTCTTCCTTTTGGCGACGGCGAGAAGACGGCGGTGAGAGGGCCTTAGCGAGGAGCGCCTCGAGGCCCGCGCTCGGCGGAGTATTCGTACTTCTGTTGGAATGTTGGAAGAAATTCGGGCAGTTGTCTGACCTTGACACTGAAGTCAGATTGCATCCGGAGCAGAAGCGTACCTCCTATTTTGTAGGAGTAGGACCTTCGAATTTGCCGCAAGGCTGTTCCTTAAAGCGGTTCAGCATGGCGAAGTACTGCGGGACCAAGTTTCCATTGGCCGCGCAGTACGTCCGGCGGTCGTCTTGGGCAGCCCTGGCCGCTTCAAGGCGTTGCTCTTTGGTCCATGGCCCATTGCTCTGAGCAGCTGATCCTGCTGCATTCGGGGCAGTGCCAGGAGGGCGGGCGATCCTCTGGGAGGCCGATCCCAAAGAGGATCGTCGATCGCTAGAGGCAGTGCCAGAAGAGCCGGGGGCACCTAGTAAGGTCGAGGTCCGAAGGTTGAGGGCCTCGATCCTCTCTTGGAGGACCAAAAGCTCTTGGCGCTTTCACTCCTGATCAGCCGCAAGGCGGGCGCTCTCATCTTGGGCCCTTCTTGCCTCTACCCATCGAGTGGCTGCCTCTGCCAGGAAGGCCTTCTTCTCGAGTTCTCTCTCGACCTTCCTGACAAAATCCGAAGAGGCGCAGGCCCTGACGCGAGCGTCAGGATGTTCTGTATATGCCCATCAGCATACGCCCTCCGACTGGGGCTGATGCGGGAGTATTGTTGTCCGCCGGTTGGCCTTGCCTTTGGGTCCAGCACTGCAGAAGATCGCTGATGCTGGGGGCTCCGGGTGTGGGAGCGTCTTGGGGATCGCCCAATGACAAGAGCTGCTGGGCGACCCAGTTCTGAAGACTCAGCATCGCTTCCATCGGTCCCTCCAAGGTGAGGGTGACTCTCTCCTGATTCTTCTTAGCTGGCCACATTCTCTGCAAAACGTTGGGATGATAGAGCGATATAAGGCATAGTAATAAAAAAAAATATAGCGGCAAGCTCAAGCGGGCAAAAGCAGCAGGAAGCATAGGCCGTGAGAAGGGTCAAAAACAGAAGCAAGAGTAGCCGGGAGCGGTTTGGGAAAACAAAACTTAAGCGTCGCGCTTGTTTCTCGCACGTAAGCGTCGGGGCGAAGCCGCTACAGGTGGCGGAGCCGCCTTGTTCGAGCCAAGTGGCCGACCTCGCTTGCGCGGAACGGCTACTGTCGGGTCTGGCTAGGCCTGGCTCTTCTTAAGCTGAATTAAGTGGTCCGCCGATGGAGAAGATGAAGGGGCCACTGCTGATTCATTGGCCTTAGACTGCTCAGCAGCCTGGTCATCCAAGAGCTTTTCGGTTTCACTCTCGGAGGCGTCTCCTCCGTCAAATGTCTCATCTATAGGAAACTGCTCGTCATCGGAGCAAGGCTTTAAGTCGCTTACGGCCACCTTTCCGATATCAACCCCATTTTCCGTTTGGAGCTGATACGAGTTCATGCCGAGGCGAGTCGTTACAACAAAAGGCCCTGCGTATTTAGGACAAAGCTTAGCAGCTATGGCCTTGGCAGCGGAGGAGAGCACGCGATTTCTCGCCCATACTTTATCGCCCACACCATAATCGATGTCGCGATGTTTCTGGTTATAGTACTTCTCCTGCCTGGTTTGAGCAGTCTTAGAGTTTCCGAGCGCGTTTGCTCGAAAATCGTCGAGTTTGCTCATGCGGGAGTGCCAGTCGGCTCGAGCGACAGCCTCGAGCTGTTCGACAGCCGCGCGCTCCTCCGTGCGTCGAGCATTACTTGGCGGCTCTGGGTGTCGCCCGTAGTTAAGAAAAGCCGGGCCAGAGCGTGTAGCTTCATGGACGGCCGTGTTAGAAGCAAACGCGTGCTCGTCAATCAGCTCATCCCATCGAGTGTGATTCTTGATGAATGCAGCAATCATGGTTTTGACCGTGCGATTGACCCGCTCCGTCGGGTTTGATTTTGGTGAATACGAAGCGCAGGTCCCATGGACAACTCCATGAGCCACCAAGAATGAATCAACCTTCGTGTTTTTAAAAGGCGTGCCATTGTCAGACAGGAATCGCTCCGGAATCCCGAAACGTAAGAAAATACGATGGTTAATTTCCTTTTTAATTGTCTTAGCATTGGCCTTACGCACTGGGATGCATTCTATCCACCTAGTGTTTGCCCATAAGTCCTGCGGGCGGCTTTTGCTCAACTTTTATTTGCTGGCAAACTTGACAGTTGCGTACGAAATGTGGAACGTCTTTGTAAAGGGCAGGCCAATAATAGCGGAGCACTGCCCTTTGATGAGTATTATAGCGGCCGAGATGACCGGCCGTAGGCTCATCATGGCATTCCGCGAGAACTAAACACTAACTTCCACGCTTCCTCGTCGTGGCCCAGCAAGTCGTCGACGATAGGGTCCGGCGGGTAAACGAACAAGCGGCTGCCAACAATTTTCCAATAGGGATGGGCCCGCGGCTCGTTGGATACTTGCTTGAACTTGCGCAAATACCACTTATCCTTAATGGACTCGTCGGCACTGAGGGAGGCTAGGGAAGTTTCGGTCTCGTACATACGAGACTGAGCATCAGGGACGACATTGTCTTTGCCCTTTCGGTGCACGATGTCAAAGTCGTAGGCCTGCAGGCGCAACGACCATCGGCCTAGCTTGCCGTTTGGGCTTCTCTTTGGCAGCCAGACGAGGCTATGGTGATCGGTCACGACGATGAAGTGATAGCCTTCAATATATGGTCGAAATTTTTCTATCGCCCAAATAACTGCGAGGCATTCACGTTCCGTCACCGACAGCCTTCGTTCAGTGGCTGTGAGGACACGACTAGCAAAGCAAAGGGGACGTTCTTCTCCGCCAATTTTCTGGAGAAGAACACTGCCAAGGCCGGTATCACTGGCGTCACACTCCACGATGAATGGCACGTCGAAATCAGGCCTGGCCAGAACGGGTGCCGACGCAAGTAAGGCTTTTACTTGTTCGAAAGCCGCCCAATGCTCGTCAGTCCACACATAAGTAGAATCTTTTCGGGTAAGTGAAGTAAGAGGCTCGGCTAAGGTCGCAAAATCTCCTAGGAATTTGCGATACCAAGAGGCCATGCCGAGAAAACGACGTAATTGTCGCATATTCCTCGGCGCAGGGTAGTCTAAAATGGGCTGTACCCTTTCAGGATCAGGGCGACAGCCGTCACGGTTAACCAGCACGCCGAAATAGCGAATCTCGGACATGCAAATCTTTGACTTCTTACGATTTATCGTAAGGCCTGCCTCGTTGAGTCTTTTTAAAATTAATGTGAGCCACTTCACATGATCGGCGAATTTCTCGGTGGCGATGATCAAGTCGTCTAAATATGCAAAAGCGAGAGGTTCCATTTCTGGCGTGATAATTTTATCTGCCAACATTTGAAAAGTGGCAGGGCCTCCGGCCAAGCCATATGGCATTCGCACGAACTCAAACAGACCCATACCAGGAACCGTGAAGGCCGTAATCGGTACCGACCTCTCCGTGAGAGGTATTTGCCAAAAGGCTCCAGAGCAGTCTAGAGCGCTGATGTACTTTGCGTATTGGATTTTACGCAAAATAACATCCATAAAGGGCAAAGGGTAGGCCGAAATTTTCGACACTGCATTGACTTTTCTATAGTCAACGCAGAATCGATACGAGCCATCGGGCTTTAGAGTCATAACGACTGGACTTGACCACTCGCTCGTGGATCTCTGGATGATTCCCATCCTTAAGATTTTGTGCACTTGAGCGTGCATCTCGTCCTCTATCTTCTTAGATACTGGGTAGTACTTTTGTCTTATGGGGTGCGTGCTGGTGAGGTCTATGTCATGCGCGATCCATCCTGTGCAGCCTACCTGTTCACCGGAGGGCTCCGGGAGCAGCTCGTGCATGACTTTTTCTATCTCTGCTCTCTGCTCGTCCATGAGATCTTCGATCCCCAGCGAGGCTAAGGCCGTTGCCTCCTCAGATTTCTCCGGCGAGAGAACTATGGGCACACCTTCTTCGCAGCCAACAAATATCAGCCTATTTGTTTTTGGACACAAATAAGCCGAAAAGGCGCGTTTGAAGTCGGCGCCAAGGGTGCCCTCTGTGTCGACTTCTTTTAGAATGAGAGCATCGATAATATGAGTCACCCCTCCGATCGTGAAGGGTAACTTTACGCCACCAACAATGGGCACGTAATGACCATCTACCGCTCTTGCCCCAGGGCCCACGTGCCGATGTACACGCCTATTTAAGGCTGCAGCCATCGAAATGGCACTCGGGCCGAGAACAGTACGGGAAGCTCCGGTATCTCAGAGACCTCTAAACTTATAGTCGCCAACATTTACTGTCAGCCACCACCTAGGTGACTTATCGATCAGGGCCCTTGAAACAGTACCTCCATCGCCGGCTGGCTGCACGTCGGAAGGGCTAACCGGGGCTAGCATTGGGTCGCCCACCGTGTTGCACAGCGCCTGCGCTACTCCTGTCACGCCACTGACTTCAAAGGTCCGAGTGATAGGGGGAGCCGTCTGGACCTCGCTTACTGGCTCCCGCTGGCGTTTTTTGGTTCTTCTTGATTCTTCTGCGTGGGCGAGCATTCAGGACAGGTAAACTTAGTGTAGCCTGGCCAACTGCACTCCCAGCAGAAAACCTTGTCAACGTCTGGACCAGATTCATTATCTTTGTTTCTATCTGATTTGGGAACGACCTTCAGAGCACGACTTCCCGATGGCCGTCCCTCGCCTCCCCGGCCACCTCGGCCGCGGCCACCGTAGCTACCACGAGACGGGTTACCACTTGGACGGTTCCGCGATTTCTTTGTCGCCGCCTCTGATTTTTTACCAGAGTTCTCGGCATTTGCCGAGGAGGTCGGAGGCCTGTTGAGGCCAAATTCCTTGGCCTTCTTATCAAAAAATTTAGACTCTAGCTTCTCCAGCTCAGCTTCTTGAGCTGGGGAAGCCTTGTCGTTCAAAGACGACAGGTTCACTGGCCTGGCCTTAGCAGATTTGGTCCGTGGCTTATAAGCCGCTTCGGGCCACATACTTTGGTCTGCCGCAGGCGGTGGCTTCCACTGTCCCTGTTCATCGTCTTCGGCCTCTTGGGCACGGGTCAGTAGCAGCTGCACGTCAGTGAGATTGTCTCTAAAGTATTTTAACTTCTTCTTGAGTGGAGGGAGCATATTGTCAATGATGAGATTGATTTGATCCCGAATGTCCCAAGGCGGATCCATCCTTCTTAGTATGGTGAGTAGAGAGACTGCGTATTCCAGTACAGGCTCATCGGCGCCTTGGGTGCGCAAGTGAGCCTCCACTGTCATAGTCCTTTTATTTCTTTTGGACTTGCTGTAAGCGATGAGAGCCGTTCCCTTGAAATCGGCGAACGTGGACCACGCAGGCCTCATGGCACGATACCAAAAGAGAGCTGACTTCTCGAATAAAGGGGTCATAGAATCGAGTAACTCCTCGTCCGCTACTTTATCTAATCGTTTGTTGTCCTCAAACCTCCCTAGGAACTCCTCAATACTAAGGCCTTCGCCTCCGGAAAATTTGATTTTCCATTCTCTGACTGTTTTTCCTAGATGTTTGCTAGGAAGAAAGCGAGACGATGAGTTAAATGTCGTGGCCTCTGTGCCATTAGCAGGCGCGCCTCTTGGCCCTTGCTGTGTCGGCGGCACTGGTGTAGCGCTGGGCAAGTCCCCCCTCCCCTAGCACGAGCTTACGGGAGTGAGCGAGCTTGGGTAAAAGGGCCCAGGGACGCTAGAAGGGGCCGACGAAAAGTTTGGCGATGGCTGTGATGCAGTCGCCGATGAAGGTTTAGTCGTCCAATGAAAGATCGGCGCTTGAAGATCGAGAGACAACGGCATGTTATATTTGTCCGAGCCGTTGAGCTGGTTTGATACATCGAAATAGTTTAATTCGAATGTATCCGCGAATTGAACATTTTTATTTTGGTAGGCATCTAATCTAGCTTGCTCTGCAGCTTGTTGTCGGGTTGTGGCCACTACTTGTTTTAACTGCTCTTGCAGCTCTTTATTGAGTGCGGCTTCACTCTCTTTTTCATTTTGTAGCCTGGCTAGGTTAGCTTGTAACCCAGCAGCTAGGTTGTTGTAGTAAGTGGTCAATGCCTTTTAATTCTCTCTTTCGATATACGGATCTTCTATATGCCTCTGGGCCTCAGCCTCTTTCCGCCAAGTTCTGTTTAACTCGCGCGCGATGGCCGGGGAGGCATATTCAACTGCACCGTTTGGCAAGGCTATTCGTACTGTCTTGCTGTGTTCGGTTGTTGCTGTCGTCGTTGCATGCGTGTAAGTCGACACGTATGTCGAAGCCGGCGCGCCTGTCATAAAGATCACTTTTTGCGCGCCGTGTGATGTTGCGATTGCCGGGTCGGCTGAAGCATTGTACTCGTACAAGCCGATAGTCTGTGTTATCATTGATTCTTGTTGCTGGATCATATCTGTTACGTTGCGCGTCGCATCCGCGCCTAACGTAAGTGACATATCGTCTTGTGTGCCTGTCAGCGAACTCTTCCGGATATTCTCCCGAGCGCTATTGCCCGTCTCGAGCTTTGAATTTTCAAAAGGCTCGAGAAGTTCATTCGCCTTTATGGCCGCGCACAAGTCCGCGCGAACTTCTTTTGGCAGGGCCTCTGACTCGAAGAATATATGGGTGAGGTCTTCGCGTCTTTCGTATGCCATATTTTCATCCTGGTTTTCGATCGCTACAAAATCTTCTGCGGTATAATCGCCGTTCAATCTACGATATAAGCGGTTTGCGCGTTCGAATAGTGTACCGTTTGTGTGTAGTTCCAGCTGAGTTAGCATACAATCCACGTCCGTGCTAGAAAGGTCTTTTATCCACTTGCAAATTTTTTCGTCAATTTGTTCTTTAAATATTGTTAATTCGCTCAGCGACCAATTGGAGGCCATTATT